AGCCTGTCATGTTACTCTCATCGCCGAAGATGGCTGCTTCCCAACTAAGGAACTGGAACTTCTCCCTTGGCGCGCTGGCTCTCTGCCGCGTGTTGCGACGCGGACGAAACACGTGTTGATGTTGAGTTCCACACACAAACACAAACTCAACACATCTTCGGAAAAAAAGAAAACTCCACAAACTGTGCGTCCATTGTTTGTTTGCTGGCAGGAGGAGAGACCTTCTCAAGGTGCTACAGTCCACTTCCCTTTGAAGACTTCTGGAAACCTGTGATTAGTCAATTCTCCCCATGAGCCCACAACTCTTACCCGTCAATAAATTAATAGAATCACTTCCAGGTCGTGTGCTCTTGTGGCTATAAGCAGTATTGCTGGTGCCGCCGGCAACGAATCATTGCAGTGTTTCATAGTGGTTCCAAAAGGTGCTGTTTGAATTGATCTGAATACCTTGGAAATAACACTGGACTTGTGATTGAAGTGTCTCCTCACTTGGTGAGTCCAAGTGACAAAAAGCTTTCCTTGTCGGAAACTCCACGGTCTTGGCCGAGAAGTCCTTGGCCGCTTCAACCAAATCAAAGACTAATTCAATGACCGAAGGCATCCCAGGACTTGTTGACGCGGCGAAAGAATTGAGCAAAACGGTACCAAAGGCCCAAAGGCAGATTCTCTCGGATACAGCTTCAAGTTCTGGAAATCAATCCGATCACAGAACCCTTCCGTTCAGCCTTTTGGCAAACACCTTTCACCCTTTCCATGTACATCCATGTACTGTCTTTCCTTTGGTCGAGACCGTTCGAAGAAATCGAGTCAAGAGGCTGGGTCGAGAAGCCACAAACCAACGGTAGTAGCATTGCGAGTGCTCTGCTCCTCGGTCGAGCGACGAGCAGTAGACGGACGGCGAAGCGGCGTGTTTTTAAACACCGACTGGACAGCAAAGCCTTGTTCTTTTTTGTGAAAACATTTCCATTTACAAAAAGACTAAGTCACTGGAAGGACTATCTTTCACACAAATACCATCAAATATCATCAAATTGATTCTGCCAGGCACATGCTGAAAGCTCGACCCCACTGAAACGATCTGTAGACTCTCCTACATCCCGGCTACACCCAGCTTTGACACCAGGCACACCCTTTGCTTGTTCCAACATGCTCCAACCACATGCAAGTCTCTGAGACTTCGGATCTTCTCGTCCACCGCCACTTCTCCGAGCTTGGCGACCACGTCACGATCTTCTTCCACCGTGAACTCGCCATCCACAATGGTGTTCAATTGCCAATCCAAGGGAAACATATACCTCACCTGAGGGCGATGCACATTCTGACTGGGGAAAAGGTCAATTTTCTGGGTACGGGATTCATCAGGATTCCACGAGCCTTCCCTGTGGAACTGGCATTCGGGTCACACACACAGGAAAGGTCAAAAGCTGGTCGATCACAGAACTCGGGACAACGGACATGGAAGTCCTTGGAAGAGGAATGACAAAGGTGTGTCTCCAAACCACGCTGGTTGACGGCAACAACAATGCAACAACATTGGTTCTACGGCAAAAAGCGATAGATCTCTCATTGCCCTTGATCTGCCGAACTGTCCAGCCAAAGTCAAACAACATGGGCCGAATGCCGAAAGATTTGGGGGGGAGTTGAGCCGTTGATTCCAAGGTACATCCTTGGTGCTGTGCAGGAGGATCACCCCAGTGTCTGGTTTGTGTGAGAGGAGTCGGCACCAAAGCTCTGCACGACACCAGCCACGTGAAAGCCAGCTCGTGTAGTTGCAGTATGCCCCTCGGTCCTGAAACTGGACAGCCCTGGACTGGAGGGGCCCTGGACATGAGGCACTTCAAGGATTTCTATAAAGAGACCAAAGGGGCCTCACTATCTTCCAATGATTCCACAAGTTGTGGGTCTAAATGTCCTTCTGGGACACGGCGGATTATGCAAATGACATGGTCTCAACATGACCAATTTGGAAGCTTATGCAGTTGCCCTACTGACTATATGACTATGACTATACCCTTCCAAAGAACACTTCTTTGTATTTCTTGTTGCCTCCTTTTCACCCCACCATGTGCCGCCAAACCTGACTCGGACCTTCCGCTCCTGGTGCTTCACCTCAGGAACCAGCGCGATGAATAAATCCGCCGCCTCCACGTAGGCGGGGATGCTTTGCACCGCTTTGGCCGCCTCCGACTTGCAAACCTCCTCGTTCACGCCTGGTGCAACGCCCAGAGGGACGCAACAGATTGGAACGCTAAACCCCAGTCATGTTCAAAAGCAAGGGTGCCTGTCTTCAACACGACATCCGGGTACCTTCATGTACCTTCAAAGCTCCACGTGACATGCATCAAAACCCTGGATGAAACCTGGACCCTTTGGCTTCCCCAATCATATAAACTAATCTTTTCCCGGGCAACAAGTTCATGGCACGCTCAACAAGTTGACATGGTTCATGGTTGTTGCGTCCCATTTTGCTTCGACTCCTGGCATCCGGGCTGTGATCTGAGGGATCGCGAACCTGAGCCGTGAGTCAAATTGGAAATTAGAACATGCGAAGCAAAGCAACATCTGTCATGGATCCCATAGGTCATCATTTTGTTGTCATTTCTCTCGGGTGCTTGATTTTATCTTCAATTCAACGTGGTTATGATTCACACATGTTTCTCTAGTGTGGCTATCCCCCCTGTAGCATACTGTCCTAGTATGTCCTAGTCATCTGCACCAATCCATTTTCACCATGCACGTTCTATCCATCCCTTAGGCTGGCGACACAAGAGGGTCGCAGCGACCACGCACCGTTGCGCCGCCGCTTCTTCCGCCGAGGAGCCAATCTAAAAAGAGGTACCCCTCGGCCAGTTGCTGCCGCGTCTCGGCGGAGAAGCTGCGCGTGGCTCCGCCGCGGTTCTGCGTCACGATGTCGGACCTGGTGTCGAGAAAACCGCGTCAAATGAAAGCGAGGGTAGTGGCAAGAGGGAATGAATGAATGTGAATGACATCCCCCCAACAAAAACCAAATCGGCCTGGTAGCCTTCTCGGGCTTTGTATTCATGGTATGCATCTTTTGTTGCCCCTTTGAAGCACCTTTTCTTCATAGTTCACTGCTGGAAATTGGGTCATCTCCAACTTACAGAAATCAAGTGATCACACCTCCCACAGCCAATCACATGATTCAAACGCTTCTCCAACTCCAAACAACCTGAGAAGCTGCAAAACGAAAGCCAGCGCTTCCCTTTCTCGACAACTGCGCGTCGAAGCAATCAAATGAGCTCGCGCAGCCGCTTGCGGCCGCGTGTCAAATCTGCTTCATGTCTTGTTCTGCCCACACATAGGTAACCGTGCAAAAGCAAAAATGCACTCTTGCATCACCACCCGCTCCAAAATCACTAAAACATCACCTCCAAGAGTTTACGTATACCTTTCTCGGGCCACCCCCCCGACCCCCGACCGACTTCACACATAGATAATTCCCATCCACATTCAGATGAAGCAAAAGCCAAACAATGCACCAAAATTCGAAGTGGCCTGGGACCAGAGGCTCGCTGCCCGAAACTATATGTTCAGGCCACCTCAGAAATGAAGATATGCGAAGCAAGGGTCCTGAGGTGTCTCTGTGACAAGGCTTTTGTTAAAACAGACAATTTTTCAAGCTAAATTCAAGGTGGCCTGAGACCAGGGTTTGCTGCCCTAAAACACTCTGTTCAGGCCACCTTAAAAATGAAGGTCTGCGAAGCGAGAGCAGAGGATGCACATGGTCCTTCTGCTGCTTGAATGTGGCCTTTTGTTTACTTAAAAGTTCAAGACCTCCCAGCTGTTTCCACCTCTTCGCTTCCCAGTCTTCCTCTTCGACTGACCTGACTGGGGCGTACCTTCTGGCGCCAAAACCTTGGAAGTGAACCAATCACAAGCATGCGTCTCTCCGGATCTCTCCCCACTATTCTTCTGCCAAGGGGCTGAGAACAGCCATCTGACTGTGTTTCCACTCTACCAGGGGGGGCCGGGAGGTGACTGGTGACGATGCTTGTACTAGCTGCGACTTGATGTCGTGTGGTCTGCCTTCAGCGATGGGTGCTGCAGATTCACGGATTGTGCATCTCGGACACTTGTTTATCAGGCATTAACACCATGTGATTTCTGAGATCGTGCTATCCTATAAGCTTCCTTTTTCATTGTCTCGAGCCGAAAAGGTTGTTGTGCAACTGTGAGGCAGGAGTCGGACGAAAATGAGCTCGCGCAGCCGCTTGCGGCCACGTGTCAAATCTGCTTCATGTCTTGTTCTGCCGACACATAGGTAACCATGTCAAAACAAAAACAATGCACCCTTTTGTTCAAACAAGCAGTTTTTCAAGCTAAATTCAAGGTGGCCTGAGACCAGGGTTTGCTGCCCTAAAACACTCTGTTCAGGCCACCTTCAAAATGACGGTCTGCGAAGCGAGAGCAGAGGATGCATGTTGTCCTTCTGCTGCTTGAATGTGACATATACCCTTCAGTAGGAACTCGAACAGCTCAAATCCAGAAGATTCTGAAAATGGCCTGGCTCCCTATATGAACCCTGGGAAGACTGGGAAGCGAGGAGGTGGAAACTCCTTTGCTCTCGCTTTTCACGGTGGCCTGAACAGAGTGTTTTAGGGCAGCAAACCCTGGTCTCAGGCCACCTTGAATTTAGCTTGAAAACCACAGCTTTGAAGCCTCATGCGCGCGATACCTGGGAACAGAATTGTAGCTACCCTGGGTCCGTATAAATACTGTGTTGCTATACCTCTTGCACACCTTTACAAGTTCAAAGCACGAATGAGACTTCAAAGCTGTGGATTGCTGTGCGTGTGTAGAGGTTATCGAGCGGTTGACGGAAGGGGAACTTGAAGTACTATACCTGGTAGCTGCACTATAGCTACCCTGGGTCTCTATACCTGGCAAGGTGCCAACTACACCTTCCCATTCAGATGATGCAAATGATGCAGATTGCATTTCTTGCATCACCACCCCTCAAAAATCACCTCCAACACAACCTCAAAAAACCTTCCCTCGACGCACCCTCCTCCCCCAGCACGTGCCGAGTTTACGTGTACCTTTCCCGGGCCCCCCCCCAGACCCCCTAACTACTCACTTCGTTCGCCAAACACAACTCCGCTAGCGCCTTCTACGAAGGCTGGCTTTCGTAATCTTCGCTTGGCACCACTCCAAAGCCAGACGAGGAAGAGGAATTCTTGATTCTAGTCTACTTGGTCATTTTGAAGAATTCTCTACTTGGCCTACTTGGCAAACCTTCTTGGGTTTAGATGTCTTCCACCTCTGCCGGTGCGGTGCATTCAGGTCGCTCGATCGCCAAGGTCCCGTCGATCGCCGCCAGCAAGGTGTCCCGCAGCATGGACGTGTGACAGCCCATGGGATCTGGGTGGGCAAATCCCAGCCATTGGTGAGATACAAAGGCCACAAACATGCCTGGCAACATCTGGCAACCACACATCTCAGGAGAATGTTCACCTTCCTTCTCTTTTTCTTTGGAGTTGCTTAATGAATTACTGTATGAACATTTCAAGGACTCGGCAGAAATCACAGCCATTCCCCACGTCCGAACTTAGGCGCGTGAATGCTGCAGCAGTGACCTTTGGTATAGAAACCGTGTATCGACCCAGGAGCACTAGCTTTGTGTATATTGCAAGTGTCAGGAACAACACAACCCACCACGATAGTAGGTAATGTCAACATCATGCCTCCGCATAAAGCCGAGGCACTGCTCTTCTGTTGGCCTTCGTAAAAAGACTAGTAGCGTTCTTGCTCCTAGTAGTAAGGCCAGGAGCTCCGAACGTAGCGTTCTTGTTACTGCGTTCTTTCTACCACCGCAGTCGAAAAATGTGTGCCTGGCGTCCAGGTATGCAGAATCCCACGAGCCAGTAAGGCGCCATGAGCCTCCGGCGTGCCACTCATCTGCACAAAGTCGCTCACCTACCGCGGCACGAGAAGGTGCAACGAACACCCGGTGGGACTTTGGACGAGAAGGGGCCCTTTTATGGCCATATGATAGGAGCAGTTGAATGCTTGAAGTCACAAAAATGGTGGGAATCATTGGGAAACGCAAGTAAATAGAACAGCATCAGACTTGCATTCTTTAGGTGCTCTGTGTAGGAGATGGACCATTGGTGGTTCTCCCTGCCCTGTCCAATGGAAGGATTGTCGAACTGATCTCAGGACCCTCAACGTGAAGTCATCAGCAGTATTCGAGGAATTATGTATGTTAATGAGAGGGTGCTTTGCCAGGATTGGTGCCCGACTGCCTATCCTGACAAGAAGCATTGCACATCTCCCCGTGCCTTCACCACATACATGGGGAAGTACATGTCGTGCACACCTGGAAGGGCCAATGGTGAGCCTTGTCGCTATCCAGGTGATCCCCACTCACGTATACTCACGTGTAGACAGTGTATACTGTAGACGATTTCGGTGCTGCTTTTATTGACAGTTGGATCAAACCATTTGAGTCCGATTGCAACTCAAAGGAATGGCAATAACCCACCAGCGGAAAATGCAACTGCTTATTAACAATATCGTCTTTTCAGGTCTCGATGCTCAAAGAAGGCTGCTGAGCAGAGCAAAAGTTGCCAACAGGAGTTCCCCTGATGGCCAGAAAAGCTGGTTTGGCTGGTTTGTCACCATCTCTAGCAATCTTGCAAGTATTCTTATGCCTTGCCCTTGTGACAGCTCTACTCTAGCAAAAACGACACGACAAGGGTGTCCGAAGGATCTCTAATTGATCATCCCCCACTTAAACAGTAAATTGTGCTGACAAGGCACAGTTGTAGCACAACAGCTGCAAGTCTTCATTGCCATTGCTCCCAGCACACTGTCCCATCTGTCCCAATATTCAAGCTGCACAGCTTCAACGGGGAAACCATTTGTCAAGCTCTCTCTCTCTCTCTATATATATAGAGAGAGACAGAGAGAGATACACAGTATATATATATATATGTGTTTTTCTTATACAGGGCAAGGACATTGCAGCTTCTAAAAATATATTCCAACAGTGATCAACCTAAGTTCAATTTAAGTGCCAATGTGGCCGGCCCCTCAAGCTTGGAAGCACCTCGCCCCAAAGCCAAATAGGTTCCGCATCAAGCAGTACGAATGCGAAGTCAGCCTTCATTTCATGTCATCCTCATACATCTAGCATCCCGAACTCATTTTCACCGTGTACAATTTCATGATCTTCTTGACCCTTCCGCTGGCGCCTCCGTTTTCCGCATGTCTTCATTGGCCCCTTGTTGGGCGGACACAGCGATGGTCGCCATGCATGGCTTCCAGTTCTTCCGGAAGCGACGCTGCTTCCAGCGACGTCCGAGTTCCAAGCGACGCGCTTGAAGAACCGCGTCCAGCTGGGTCCCGGCACGAAGTGTCTTCGGAACGACCCCTCTGCGGAAGGAGGCAAGTTCTCACAGTCCAGTGATGTTTTGCCTCCAACGAGATCAATTCAGCTATTGATGGTACTTGAGGGTGCTGTCTGCATAGGATATCATAATCAGAATGCAAGCGTCTACAACAGGCGTTCTCTTCTTTCACATGCACACAATCTCCGACATTTCACATTGACTACATTCACTCTTACTTCTCCAAGGACGCTACTAGGGGCTCCTGGCATCGCTACTAGGAGCAAGGACGCTACTAGGGGCTCCTGGCCTTACTACTAGAAGCAAGGACGCTACCAGCTTTCAGTCTAGTGTGATGAACCATGATGAAACCATGTCTTGCCTCAGCGACACCACTGGTCGCTGCGCCGGCGCTTCTCAGGATGGCCGAGGAGGTGTCGTAGCTCTCGCTTGGCCTGGATTTTCCAGACTTGGGGCTCTTTGGCCACAGCAAGGGAGAAAATGAGGTCAAAATGACTCTTCACACAGATATTCAGAAACATGAATATAGAGTGTTGTATAAATAAGCAAAAAGATCTTTATTATATATATACACATACATACACATTTGGCATCATATGGCGACACGTGAACAGAAGGAGGGTATAGCTTGTACAAAGGGTTCCTCGCTTGGTACTAGATCAAAAGATTCCAAGCTTGCATGGTTGGATATGGTTGGTAACTTTCAGCCTCACACTGCAACAATGCAGTTTCCAAAGAGGTAAGGACATGGGACACCAAGGCTCGAAGCAACTACGAGCATTGCCTCAGCGTGCTTTGGGAATATCGCTCTTTCTTTAATCATCAACTTTCTGTAGCCCAGTGGTGAGAGTCAATGCTTTCAAACTTTGAGATGTGCAACTGGTGGGTGACAAATGACCGCATCAAAATGAGTCAGTAGCACCGCAAAGCACTCTAAAAACTCTGTTCATGACGAAATGAGGAGCCTAGCTATCAGAACTTCACACAGCTAATGGTGACGGGGTTCTTGAATCCATTGTACGATCCTGAATCTCTCAGCACCAGATCTATCTGAACGTATCGTAGTCTAAGCCCCGGTTGCAAACGAACGTGGAGTGGCTGATTCCCACTGACCGAGCGCCCACACTCGCACCGGAAAGTCTTCCTGATTCACAGCCCCTTCCACTTCTTGATGATTCCTCAGCTTGACCATGCTGGACACATGATGTCTTGGGGTATGGGAACCTGCGGCACTATGAGTTGGAGATATGCCCTTCATCGCCTTTAATTTAAACTGGAGTGGCAATTGCATACAGCACGTAAGCAATCATCCTTGTAGGAGTGAGCAGCGAATATCTTGCCTACATATTTATTCTGGAGTGCACACAAAAGCAAAGACCTTTGGTACTTGAAGTCCAACACATAGTTTGCCCAAAGATGAACATTCCAAGCCTTGGATTAAAAGACCCCAGCAACGAACAACATGAGACAAAACTGAGCAGCATGAGGGCATAGCTGCGGCAGGCCCTCATGAGCTTCGGCAATGCTTTCAAGAGCGCGAAGTCACACAACTCTCCCAAGGTCTCCTTGGTGACCTAGGAACCCAGAAACTGCCACCGGGCCAGTAAAATGATGACTTGGTGGCTTGGTGCATTCATGTAGAGCTGGTTCCCCTCCGTTCCCGAGTTTCGGAGAAGCACAGATTGTAATCAAATCTGACAAGCTCGAAAGGCATGCACCAACCAACCCTCTACAGCAATGTCATTCTGGGCACCATTTCCACTAGCAAGTTCTCTGCCATGACCACGATGTGTGGCACTTGCCAGCGATGCGCCAAATCCAAGGCCCCCAATAGCACTCCCATGGATGGCCGCATGGAGGGGCTGCCGGTGTACCTCGATGCGGCTCGGATTGCCCACGGCCAGGCCACCAAACGTGCACAGGATGTGCGCATGTGGCTTGGATGTCAGGAATGTCCAAATTGGAGATCGAGTATGACCTCCCATCCGCTCCCATCTGTATCCAATCGTACAGAAGTGGCAGCTGAAACTATGGATATCTCAGATCTTTCTCCGGGTCACATGAGGCGTAGGAAGAGTTGAGCTGAATCCAATGAGACACCCTCCACATGGATGTGGCCACACAGGCCTGCAGGGAGAGAACACCTCTTTGAGTGCTTGACCCTGGCTGCAGTGTTTGTTTAGGATGTTTTGTTGTTCGCTCTTTTATGAATTTGGAAAGGGTGGTTGTCACGGGTGTAGTCCTCTGGTGGCTCCCGAGGGACGTGCAGTTTTTTCAGCACTCCCTACCCTAAACTAAACTGCTCGGGTTTGGCTTTAGTTCGGCTGTGGTTTAGTATTGCTTTTGAATTAAAAAACTAGACGGAGGGCGGCAGCGAGGGCAAACCGAGTGCCAAGAACCCCAAAAGAGCCACCAAATGCCAACAAAAAGAACACAGCCATTAAAATCCAACGAAATCCACCAGAACCAAAAACAACCCGCAAACCAAGTGTCAGGCCAAAGCCCTGCCAGGATTAAGAGACCACCAAAGGAAACCGACCAAGGGATCAAAGAGAATCTAAACACCAAGCCAAAAACCACCGAAGCCAATAGCCAAGAAGCACAAAGCCAAGAAAAGCACAGATGCAACAGGTAGAAACAAAAACAACATAAACACAAAAGGGACTCCCTTGAGGCCTCCTAGACTCTTTCTGTCCAATGATTCTAGCCTTGTCTGTTGACAGTCCCTATCACTCCTACATTCCTACATGATGCAAGCACGGATTCCTCAACCCAGCTAGCAACGCACAAGGCATACTTGAAGGACTTGAAGGATGATCGATTCACGTGGAACGAAGGGTGATCACCACATCCTTCTGCGAGCTAAACAATCTAACCATACATACAACAACTGTGCAACCGAACATGCCTTTCTCCGCTCTTGCAGGGTGCCGAGAAACAGAGGAGCGGGTGAAGGAATGTGAGTGGAAGGAATATGAAGGACTTTCTTCCATAAGTTTTTCTAACAGCCCATGGCCTCGATTCCGACCACCCAAACCGCCTCGATTCTAACCGCGCGTCTCCGCATTCTCGCACCTTCCTTCATGGGCGTCGAGAGCAAGGCGCGCAGCACCGGAGAGGCAGTCCGCAGCACAGAGGAGTGTGCTTTCAAGGTGCCCCAGTCCATCACCTGGCCAGTCCCTCACGCTTATAGACTTATAGATAGTGCTCATGTCAGATTTAACATGGATGATTTGTGCGATTTGTCTAAAACAGTTGTGCATATGATGGGCATCTATAGACTACATATTGTAATAGTAATAGTACTTGGAATAGTACAATGACATGTGCTATCATGTGCTAGATTGGTGCAAGTAATGCTGCGCTTCTTTGCTACGGTACAAAAGAAGCAGCTATAGAAGTAAGTCAGAAAACATTTTGCTGGAGAGACCATGGACTTTGAGGTTATACTTGCTCTTGGCACTCGGACCTTTCTCAACTATTGAATCTTGACCCTTGAGGTGTGGAGGACTGGAGACCTGAAGCACCGCTTTCACGCATGGCGTACTCACCACTGTGATTCCTGGCCAGAACCAGAATCTCCAGGTGAGAAGGCTTCGATCTTGCTCAGGTATTTTATCTCATATGACTCATATCATATGAGCATCTAAGAAGGGTCCCCAATGGACCCCACCTCAAGCTCCACATCGCCCTTCTCGTCCTGAAGTAGCTGCTCCCACATCTCAACTGTTCCTTCTGGGACCAGAACCATGGGGTCCTCTCAGCGGTCGCGTTGGTCAAAGCAGCTTCTCGTAAGCCTGTCCATCTTCGTTATGGCTTCTGCCATACAACTTTTCATCTATGAAGAAACGGCAATTCCAATATTTTCCCATGCATTGTATCAACACGTGAGAAATTGAACCATTGAGGCTCATTGAGGTTCATTGAGGGGTTGCTCTATATCAAAGGGCTTTGTCAGGGAGTCAGCAAAATTGTTCAGAAAGTTCTTACACATCAATTCCTTGGACACATTGAAATGGTGGCAGTCTGGTCATTAAGACACCATGGTAGAACATTCAGTTTTGGATGTCGCATCACTGATTTCGACCGATGACACAAGCTCGTATTTGTTATTTTTACAACAACCAACGGACCAAAAGGAATGCTAGGAACCAACGCGCGAACACAATACTTTTTCGCGTCTGGAGTGTCTTCCTTGCCAATACCTTCTGACAAAAGGTCCGTAAATTCGACCGAAAATCATTCCAAAATCATTAATTTTGATAAACTCCGGGAAAAAGAACCGGATCATGGACGTCTATGTCGTTCGTGGACGCAGTGGACGCACGAAGAAAAAACGTGCATGACGAATGCAGTCAAAAACTCGACATCAAAGCATCTACAATAGGCGGAACGCTTGGGTTCTGAAGAATCAAAGTGGCAGATCTGTCAATGTGCGCAGAAAGGCACTGTCAAATATGTATCCTAAGAGTCCTCCTCTGGCACGAACTCCGCAAACACGCTCAGCATTTGATCTG